TTATTTTCTAGGCATGATCACCTGCAAGTGGAAACTCGTGTAGATGTTGACCTGGCAAGATCCATCCCAGAAATTTCAACTTATGGCTATTGTATCTGTGTAGGTGAAAATTTGATGACCTGGCATAGCAAGAAGCAGTCAGTTGTTGGTAGGTCTAGTACAGATGCAGAATTACAGCTATGATTTATGATAAATTATCTTAATTCAGCATGCTTGATCTCCCTGTTTTTGGGTGATTAAAGGTATACAGCACTTATTGATGCATATACTTTGAGTAGTTACTGAAGCAATGGCATGTTAAGCAGGGCCATTATTTTTGCTTGACACCCTAGATAGCTTGAATTTCGTGCTGTTATATATTGGTGGCTTTTATGTATTACTTGATGCAAAATTTGTCACATGTTGGATTAGTTTAATCTTGAAGTATGTGCAGTTGAACCAGTTCTTCTTTCTTTCCACATCTATATATATATTTTCTTTCTTTTCATATTCCTTCCTTTCTTATCCTTTTTTTTTTTCCTGTTTTTGATTTTTATTCTGTCTTTTCCGCTTGGTATGAGCATAAGTTTGGACTTAAACCAATTGCAGTGAGCTTCTTACTGGTGTTGTCCCTATACTGATCTTCGTGCAGAGGCACAGGTTAGTCCTTCTTCACTCTATCTAAATTGACATTCTTCTTTGTACTTATTATAGTTGTCATGGATGTCTAATCATCACTCTTGCAAGTGGATGTAAATATGTTTGTGCATGGAGAGAGCATTGTCTCCAAGAACTGACAAGCAATGTACATGAGCAATGTTGTCAGTAAGTAATTACCACCTTTGGTCTTAGTTTTGAGGTTTTGAAGGGCGAGTACTGTCAGTTGAAGTCTCAAGTTCCCCTCGTTCTTATAACACGTTAAGTAGTTGAGTACTGTTGCCAATATTGATTACCACTTTATTTGATCACTCTTTGTTTTGGTTTTGAGCCTTTGAAGAGCGAAATTCTGTCTGCTGATGGGAGTGTTTTCTCCTTGTGAGACTTGCAGTATTGCATTCTAAGTCTATATACTATCCACCGAGTCAAAAAGGGAAAGCTTATCCTCTAGGTTTTGTCAGGCAACTCCTAGCTTACACCAACCACACATTAGGGGACCTCATGGGTCCTTAGATGCAACTAGGTTGATGTTCATGGGGGTGGTTTGACTTTGATAAGGGAGCTTCGGCGACATGTGTTTTTGTGTAGCCCATTTAGCTATGCCCCTGGGATGTAGGCCTGAAGCTATGGAAGCATTGACCTATCATAAACAACTAATATTGAGCATCTAGGGGACGAGGACTATAGAAGAGTGCATGCATCAGACGGAGTGAAACCTTGTGGTTGGAGTTGTTTCATCTGGAGCCTTTTGGAAGAGCCACGTGCAGGAACGCATTTGATGTTCATCTCTTATTTTCTTCTATCATTGGTTTTTCGATTAATTCCTCTAACATTTAATATGCTCTCTCTTAAATCCGTCTCTTTACTTCACATGTCATTCCCCATATTTGTTGCCATTCATTACCTACGTGCTCCCGAGCATTGATTTGTTGCTGTTATCATATATATGCACCTGTTCACAGATCTCTTAGGGCCTCTTAACTTATTTAGTTAAAATGCAACCCCTATATTTCGTTCTATGTTTTCATGGTGGCACCTGAGCACAAGTAATTGATATTTTGTCTGTACGACAGATTAGACTTCCTTTGGGATTTTATTCTTTGTGGAATTATTGGAAACGGGTTGGGCAAAGTTTAGTTTCTCATTAACAATTCCACATCCAGATCATACAAATACAGTTTGCTTTACATAATTTATGTTCTTTTCTTGATGTTCCTATCTTAATATTCATTGTTCACTCATCACGTACACTTTTTCACCGCTTATTTGTGCATGATATGACCTGCTGGCAGGCCCACACTGTGCTGGAAATGAACTACACTGCGCAGCAACTTACAGCAGCTGTGGTGTCTGAGGGGCTCCGCCCTATTCTTGCTGATCTTGAGTTGGGTGCACCAGCAAGTTTACTCCCTTTGATACAACGATGTTGGGATGGTAATCCTCTAAAAAGGCCATCTTTTGATGATATAATGGTGGCACTTGATTCCATTTTGGAGACCAGAAATAGAGTGAAAGATGAGGAAAAGGTCCTCCCTGAACCTTCTCTCTCTCCTGGTGACAAGGATACCGCAAACCGTCGAATTTTTCAAGAGAGTATTAATTGGTTTTCCCAGGGGGAGTATTTCTCAAAGAGAGTTTCTCCTGCCCCAGGTTCTGGGGTGAGAATTGGGTTTGATTCTTCAAATGATCCTTTGGCATACTGTCCAGTGCTATCATGGGTTCCTTCTCTACTTGTGGGAGGAGGGAATCTATGGAGGACACACACTTCCTTATGCCGAATATGTGCAATGAAAAGAATATCCATGCGTTTGGAGTCTTTGATGGTCATAGAGGTGCTGAATAAGATGATGTACTTTCAATCTTAATGGTGTATCTGGGACCAAACTCAAGGAATAATAAAATATTATGACTCATAAGTCCTTTGGTACAAGGAATGGAGAACCACTGGGAATGGGATGAAGGATGTATACTTGTGAAAGCGGCAACCTTTCCTTCCTTTTGGTTAGTTGAGCAGGAAGGAGAGGAGAAAAAATGAAGTGGTGTTCTGTGAATTGAACATAATACATTTTCTTATTAGAAACAAGTTCTTTTATTTTCTATTTCCTCCATGTTTATGGGGAACAGTTTAAGAAAAGAAGAGGTCTGTACCTTTTCTCTCTCTTCAGGGGTTAAGGTTTTAGCGGGTGTTTGGAGTGAATTACTCCCTCCTTCATCTTGGTGGATTTTGGAGTGAAAGCCTCCCAGTTTCCTTCTCAGTTTCTTTGCATTCCCCTTTCACTCGTACCAGACAATGATATCTCTATAGTTTCGCATACATCTTTGTTCTTCACTTCTTTTTTTAATCTTCCCTATTCCTTCCTCCTAGTTTCCTAGCTCACTTTCGAAGTTCCGGGTCATAAAGTTTGTTCATGATTGATATTGTTAGAGAAACAAGATACTTGAGACATAGGAGTTTGGATCAAGGAATATGTATTGTAATACCAGCAGTACGGTTAAATCCTTGTGTAGTGTGGAAATTTCCTTTTATAATTCGTTACCTAAAGCAATCTCATGCTCTATATTACAACAAATTGTGGAGGAAAAGGTAATTTTGAATATCATGGAGATTATTGTTAGGCAATTCGGACCATGAAGGAATTTGTTTAGAGGTGAATGCCTTAGCGACAAGTCAGGCTTTTAGATGTTCAATGGAATCATGAGGGTTGCGTTTCAAAGATAACAATGATGACCAACATGCCTCTTAAAATGGCGTGACAGGACAAGATCCCAAGTTCCATCATCATGTATTATATCCATCCTTACCTCCATACCTTTCCTCTAACCCGGATTTGAGAACCCCTCGAGAATGTCTTAAGAATGGAAATAGTAAATTGTTGTGCTATAAAACAAGACAAACCCGGTGATAGAGCAGCCTAAGAAACAAAATGACTAATAAGATGGATAATAATACTAGATTGTGTACTTTTGCTTAGAGCAATAATGAGTCCAAAGCAATAGAAGGATTTGAATAAGAAGATGACAGAAAGACGAAAGGGGCATGGCTTCAAGCAATGAGAGTTCACCAGTAACAAGGTCACAAATTATGAGAGGAGACATGTTGGGGGAGACACTAAGGCATTGGTTGGATGACAGTAAACTTGATTGGGAATGAGAATCTCATTCCTAAATCTCTTGATTACCATGTTTGGATAGTCAACTATTTCGTAATCTAACAGGGAATACCATTACTATGGTAATCAAATTCGCATTGATAGTGGATATAAAAAGCTCAATGGTGGAAATCTAATACCTACCTTGATTTGGTATTCTAAAAAAGGAATCAAAATCTAAAATCAATCTCATTTCCAAAATTAACTTCATTCCTTAAATTAAGCTCTCTTCCTAGATCAAACTTAATTCTAAAGTTAAGTTCAGTCCTAAAATAAAATTAAAAAGATATTCTTTCATTTACTACACTAACAATAATCAAACAATAATTATGAGATTATCGTGGTAATTGAAATCTGGGAATCTCATTACTAGGAATGAGATGTCCATTTCCAATTAATATTACCGCCATCTAAGGGTTCTGAAGGGACAGATGGTAATTGGAAAAGGGGTGGCGAAGGCAATGAAGGAGTCGTCCTAAAGTCAAGATTATGAGGAGATGTAAAAGCCTAGAAATATGGGACAAACTCAAAAGAGATAACATTGAAGCTAGTAAAATGACGTCAAGGCATAGGACTATAGCAACAATAATATTTCTAGGTACAAGAGTATCCTAGAAATACACTTTATAGCATGAGGGTCAAGTTTGTCAAAACAAGGTCCTACGTTGTGAACATAGCAAACACACCCTAAGATCATGGGAGACATATGAAGTAAGGAGAGACTAGGGAACAAGGATTTAATGAGTAGGATATGTGTGATTGATGAGATAACAAACATTTAAATAGCTCGAAAAATATTAGGGAACATGCATATGAGAATAAATGCTTTAGTTTCTTCTAACAAATGTCAGTTTTTATGGTTTGTCACCTCTTTTTTTGTGGGTGTGAACATAAGAAGTTTGATAAACAATCCCCTTTTCACAAACATTAGAGTCAAAGGGCTCGGTGTCATATCCTCTTCCATTATCAAAACGAAAAATACGGACACATAACTAGGATTGGGCTGACGTTGCAAACCCAGGAGAGACGAGTGGCCCAAATGGAAAAGCCACTAAAATAGAGATAAGGATGATTGAAGGCTTTGGAAATTGACTCAAAATAAAAATAATAAAGATCAACGACATGGATAAAAAGATCCTGAAACGCTCAAAAAGATGGATAAAAGGTTAAAGAATAGTTTAGAGATTTAGTAACCTAGTCCATAGATATCAACTTGAAGGAAAATTGGGGAATGGATAGAACACATGATAAAGATATGGTAGGACTCAAGAGTGTTCCTCAAACTTGAAACTTTAGATGAGGATCCGTGAGCCAAAGTAACAACTTGAGAAGGGGTTACAGATGGATAAGTAGATAAGACACTGGACTAGACAAACCAATCATGTGATTGGATGTACCAGAGTGAATAATCCAGTGACCGTGAGTGGAAGACATTAAACAAGTCAGAGCAATGTTCGACTAGGTAAAAGTAACATAGGAAGAGGAGGGAACCCTGGTTTAAAGAATCAGCTGTACCAATATAACTTGGACCAATTGTATTTGAAGACTGATACATCATTTGTGCAATCATGAGTCTCAATTGACTTGTGTTTGTTTCAAAGATGTCGTGGACAACCTGGTCAAGTGGGGCTGAGGAGATGTCATTGAATTGCAGCATATAATTGATAACTTTTCGCTTTGCCATGATATGACTTGAATCTCTCTTTATGTCTAACTTATTTTATCTAGGATTTTATGTGCATTGAAACTCAAGGCAATCACTGAAAATTTGACTACGTGTTCACACGAAACTCTTGAAAAAGGCTTTGGATCAAACAAGAATTTCTGCCTAAATCACTAGTAAAAAAATACCAAGACTACTTTTGATTTGTAAAACAAAGATTTGAACATATGCTTTAGGTCTCTCTCTCTCTTCGGTCTTTCTTTGGTCCTCCTAGACGTTTTTTGGTCTAGCAAATATAGTGGGCCGACCCTAAACTAAGTTTGGAAGGGATCCTAGCCAAGTTAGGAAAGATCCAAAGTCTGATACACTGCAATCGCTCTAGCAGCCTCATCCTGGTGAGCGAGAGGCAAGCGTCAATTACTGGAGTTTTCTAGAACTGAACCTTTGCACTATGCTCAAGTGCCTAGTGAATACCAAACATTCTAGCTAGTGGTATTCTTCCAAAATGAGTGTAATTGACCCCGGTCTTGCCTCCAAAGGCTGCAGTTGATCGTGGTCTATAATTTAGCCTTAAGTTATACTTTAAAAACACTTTTATCATATCAAAAACACATAGCTAAGTATAAATCACATAAGTCAAGTCCGAAATGATATTATTTTTATTTTAAACATGTGGTCAACTAAGGCCTCTAAGTCAAACGTACCATACTTAACCGGTGTTTGATTGCAATGAATCGAGTTTGAAATCTTCAATCAAATCTCCAAATAACTCATCGAAAACCGGCTTAGTCATCTCTGATCTTCAAATCACTTGTCCTAGCCCTCGACCGACTTGACTCATGTCGCTCACAAAATTTGGTCAATTACAAATATACAGTTGCATACTACTTAACAACGCATACACTCTCACAAACACAAATCTATATTTCACCACAAAATGAGTTTTTGAAGATATTTTAATGGTGATAGAATAATTCTTCCTTTAGGTTGTTCCCAGATACACCCTAATGCAAGTTCTTAAGGTGCGGTTGAATGGCACTCTATGTGACTATTTCTTATGCAGGTGCAGCAGCAGCTGAATTTTCAGCCAGGGCATTACCAGGGTTTTTGCAAAGTCTGGTTTCCATGATCAGGTTTCTTTATTTTGTTCTCTTGTCAATCCTTCTACTTTTATGCATACATGTATCATGAATCAAGGAAAAATCTGGCATTTATTTGTAATTTATGACTGTGCAGTCCCTCTGATGCATTGCTGGAAGCATTTCTTAAGACTGATGCTGCATTTAGGAATGAACTGGATTCTCATCGTAAATTGAAAGGATTTATCAAGAAAGACTGGCACCCTGGTTGTACTGCTGTTGCTGCTCTTGTAGTTCAAAACAAGCTTTTTGTTGCTAATGCTGGTGATTGCAGGATAATCTTGTGTCGAGCCGGCAATGCCTATGCTCTAAGTAGGGTGAGATGGGGCACCTTTAGTCATTTTACTGCTTATTTGAGCTTATTAGTAGAATAAAAAGGGCTTTTTTTATTTTTACACAAGTGCTCTTTGTCTTATTTAAGTTACAAGGTGTCATACTGCTCTTTTAATGAATTATTGACCTTGATTTAGTAGGATCATGTGGCAAGTTGTCTTGAAGAGAGAGAGCGTGTTACAAGTGCTGGTGGACTAGTCAAATGGCAGGTTGATACATGGAGGGTTGGTCCTGCTGCTCTGCAGGTTTTTTTCTTTGATCTTTGGTGTTTTTTGTCTCATGTTGTATATTCTGACATATGTAGGGTATATTTATGCTGCCGTTCCTTTTGTCCGGTCATCTTTTTCGCTATAAAGAAGTATACATGCTATTTTGATCAAACACTTTATTTTTATCTAGGGATTATACCATAGGATTAACTTGACCTTCTTCTGTTGGATCTAAAATGGTGGCACATGGTATCATCTTATGTGTGTCACAAGCTGCCAACTTTTATGTCCATGGTGTGGTGTTTTTGTCAAACCCACTCATGAAGCCTTGATCTTTTAACAAAGAAAAATGAACGATTTTTTAATTGTGTCCAAAGATCAAAATGTCGTGTCGACACGTCCGAAACGTCCGAAACGTTTCGGAATTTCAACACTCCGAAACGAAACAGTAGTTGAATCACAAAATTCCAGTGTTTCGGTCGAAACGGTACTGTTTCGGACAGTTTCGGTCGAAACGGTACTGTTTCGGACCGTTTCGGTCGAAACGGCATTGTTTCAAACCGTTTCGACAAAACAGTGATATATTCGGTTCATTATAAATAATTACATTTAATACCCCATTATAATTACATTTAATACCCACTGTAATTACATTTAATACTCACTATAATTATATTTAATATCCCACTATAATTACATTTAATTCCCACTGCTCTTCTGTCTTTTATAATTTTTTTTTTATAAGAATAAATAATTACACTTAATACCCTACTATAATTATATTTAATACCCATTATAATTATATTTAATACATACTATAATTATATTTAATACCTCACTGTTGTGCAAGTTTTTTGCTTTTTTTTTTTGTTATAAGTATTAACAATTACATTTAATACCCTAATGTAATTATATTTAATACCTACTGTAATTACCTTTAATACCCACTGCAATTACATTTAATTTTTAAGTATACATAAGTATCATTAATTTAATTTGATACCCTTCATTATTAGTATTATAATAAAATAATATTATTAATTGGATTATATTACCGTAATAATATGATTTGGAGTAACTATTGTCATCATATTTATGTCACGTATGAGTTTCTCTAAGTAGCTACCCAGAGCCTACACCGATGTATGAGCCTGCTCGACACTCCACAGGGGAATGGATGTAACCATGTAAGTATGTACTCATTAGCATTTCATGTGTATTATAAGACCTTAATATTATGTAAAAATGTGTTTATTTCATAAAAATTAAGTGTTTGAAACTAATTTAAGTGACTTTCGCCTCAAGTCAAGCCTTTTTTTCCCTCAAATTTAAATTTATTCTTGTATAAATTGATGTTAACCTAATAAATATGTTGAATTAATAAATTATTTAGCATATCTTTATAAATTAATGGATTGCATTTGTGTTTCTATGCGTTTCCATATTTTTTCTGCGTTTCCATTGCGTTTCCGAAATGTTTCCGAAACGTTTCTATTTTTGAGTTGACCGAAACGGTACTTCGAAACGAAATTTTGATCCTTGATTGTGTCAATTGTTGATTGACTTGTACAAGACACCGCTGCCTTGGTTCACTTGGGCGGGCATGTGAGACCCATCCGAGTTTTTTAAATCTTACTACAGAAACGAGAATGTTTGTGAAGTTGTTTTTTCAAAGTGAAGTTGTGTTGTTCAGGAAATCAATTATGTGGAAGCTCTTGGAGTTATTCATGCAAGAACTAATGGAAAAATACAATATCAAACTATTTGATGGTTCCATCGTGTTTCACTTGTAGGTCATTTCTTGTCAAAAATTGAGTGTGATCACTTGTACATTTAAATTGTTTTAAACTCCCCCTTTTTTTTTTTTGAGGTTGAGGGGAGGGGAGGGGGGAAGGGACTTGAACCCTTGGCCTCAAGAAGGCAAAGTCCCTTAAACCCCTTAAGTATGTGTTTGTCGGAAAAAAAAGAAGTATCATAATGTTAGTCTAGAGTTAACATTTGTTGTTCCATAGAGACAAGGATAATTTAGTCATTCTATAGCTAACTAAGTTATGGGTTGATTTTCATTTTTCATTCACTAATCTGACATTAGGATTTTTTTTTAAGACATGGAGATTCACTTGTTAATTATGTATGATTATAATATGAATAATAAAAATAAATGCAGTGATGTGCATGTGTCTCTTAACATATATGCATGTCATGCACGTGTGTTTATATCTATATAATAAAGTAACTTACAATTCAAATATCAAAAGATAAATAAAATGACTTGTTATTCGTGGTTGAAATCGATTTAAATTGTACTTTAAAGTTAATCTAACGGTTAATATTAATACTCCAAATTTAATAAGAAAAATAGGCCCCTAAGGATGTGTTTGTGGTGATTTTTTAAAAGTAATTTTAGAAATTATTTCTCATAAATATTTTTTAAAAAAAAAATAGTATTTGAAACCACTCCACCACTATCTCTGCCACCTCTGCCATCACCATCGCTCGCTGCCGCCGCCATCACCACCTTTTACCCCCACGGTAAATCGATGCATAAATTCTTTTATCTTTTCTCTATGTTTGTGATTTGATTTTGAATATGAATACAAATATGTTTATTGTTTATCATTTTTTATTACTTTGTGCTTTCAGGCACAGACAATAACTAGTATTAGATATTTTGGCTAAGTTTGACATTTGTTTAAGCTATACATACATGCATATAACATTCAAACAATACCATATGTGTATCTAACAAACACCATCAAACCAAAGAAAAATACTACCCATATTCAAGGTGTGTTGTACTTGTCATGGCTTTTAACTTCATATAAAAGTAGAGTTTGGTGATATAGCTGCCATGTGGATGCAGGCGTTGCAATTTTTTAAAAAAAAATTACAATTTAGTCCTTAAATTTGAATTATTTTGATTTATGCCCTAGAAAATTTTATAAAATTATATTTCAGCCTCGGTTTTAACTATTACACTGCAGACCCCAACAGTTTTGAATGTTATATTGCTGTCCCCATTGAAATTACCACAACCAATTTTCAACATTTCTGATTATACCCCTAACATAGTTTTAGAAATTATAAATCAGCCCCTAATAAATTCCAAAATTTTTGAAGTCACCACCCTAAAGTTTAATATAATTGAAAATTATGAAACTGCCTCAAAAGTTTTGATATCTTTCAACTATACCCCAAAAAGAGTATTAGAAATTATAAATGAACCCATAAAGCTCTAGAAATCAAGAATTGTCCAAGAAAAATTTAGTAATTGCTTAGATCACCCTTGAAAGTTTCTAACTCTCACCAAGACCCCCATAAAATTTTATTATCTTTCCAATGAGATCATATTCAGTTTTTTCAAGATCTTAGCATTATAAATAAGTTAATTGACTCCTCCCTCAGCATAATAAACTCTACTAGCATAAATAGTGTGGCTAATAAAAATGATTTTTGCCTCGATTAAATACGTACACTGAATGTTTCTAAGGAATTCATATTGAATGATAATTATAATTGAAAGGGAGCATAATTTCTTATGTAAAACTTAAGTAAATGTTTCCAATTAAGGAAACCAGATTTTTGATTCGTATAAAATTACCAAAATAACTTAAGGTGCCAAGATTGAAATAATTTTGGATTCATTCATATCCATGCATATCATGTAGCACCCCATTGCTATTAGTTTAAATTGTACATATTCATCTTAGTATACCATAGTGGAAGAACTAACACCAAGGACAACTCTAGAGTTTGATGCTTGCTAGACAATATATAGTTTGGTTGGGTGAGTGGATTACAATATTATCGTGGTCTTGATAAAATGCCAATTTTTGAAATCCTTAGATTTATGAAAAATAAATGTTTTTGATAAACTTGAATTCTCATGCAACTGAATTATGTTCCATGAGAATGTTGTTCGAGAAATATGTCTTCTATAATATGATGAAGCTCTATTTAAGAAATTGATAAATTTACACTTTGAACTATATTATGATGATTTGATAAAAATGTCATTATGTGTTTTAAAAATTGATCCTTGTATTCTATCAGCCAATGATCAAAATATCGTTTCGAAACGGTCGAAATATTTGAAACGTTTATGTTTCGAAGGAGATCGAAACGAATTAATGATGAAATCGAAATTCTAATACTTTGAGGCGTTCCATAATGTTTCAAAATGTTTTGTTAGATTTCTATGCATTTGCACAATTATTTCGGAATATTTCAAGATATTTTGGTATGTCGAAACTAATGTTTTGAAAAAATAATTCTTAAATTTTTTATTTTTTTCATTATGTTTTTGAAACAGATTGAAATGTTTCCGAAACACGTCGAAACGTTTCCTTTTCTTAGGTGACCAAAATAATGAGCCGAAAAAATTTTTGATCATTGGTACCAGCCATATATGTATTTATGATTTTGAGGTCTTTGGGACCACATGTGTATACATTTAGCCTTATGTGCATAAATGGTGTGTCTTTGATTTCAATAAAAGAATCTATCAGTCTACATACCATAGCTTGGTTTGATAAGCTTTTCAAAACTATGCTAAAATTTGGGTATAAACTGAGTTATGTTGATCATACTATGTTCATTAGACAGGTTGATGACAAGATTACAATCCTTATTACATTTGTCGATGACATAGTGATAACTGGGAATACTGGGCATGAAGTCACCAAAACTAAAGTTCAATTGGTCAAAGAGTTTGAAATCAAAACCTAGGTGATATTTTCTTGGGGTTGAGGTTGCCAGATCAGATAAAAGAATTTTTATCTCTTAGAGAAAGTATGTTCTTAACCTTCTTGAAGAAACATGTATGTTAGGAACTTAGGATATAGACTGATAGATTCTCTTATTGAAGTCAACCATCAACTGAGTGGTACTATTGGTGATATAGTAGATAAGGAGAGGTACCAGAGACCGGTGAAAAACTTGATATACCTCTTTTATACTCGATCAACTGAGTGGTACTATTGGTGATATAGTAGATAAGGAGAGGTACCAGAGACCGGTGAAAAACTTGATATACC